AATGTCCCAGGAGTGGCCACTTAATATCTTCTCCCTTTAAACTCGAAACATTCAAACCCACGAGTCTCTGAAATCTAAACAGATTCATAATTTAATCCCCTCTGAATTAACTGGATATATATTTGTCTGTTTGTTCTTGGGAGAGTGACACGAGCCCTTTCTGTGGCTGTTTACTCTTCCATGTGTCAGCAAGCTTCAACTGATTCAAGATGCTCTGCAGGTTGCGTGTGTCACACATGTATCTGCATCCCAGATCATTTCTTTTTGCTTTCAACAACTGTTAGATTTGGTCCAATATGACTGGTGTTTCCATCTTCGTCTGGCTCCCGATTCATTTCTTTCACTCATAATAGATGCAGCTTGTTGTTTTTGAGACTTCCTCCCAGTGATGAGTTTTGTAGTCATTGACTTTGACTTTGACTTTATTTTTACTCTTTTTTTTGATGAGGACATGTGACGAACTCATGAAAAAAGTGTCAAAAGGAAACAGGAGACGATGTCAAAGCAGTAAATGGATCACTATTATATTCATTTATCAGGGATTCCGCTGATTAAACACTTTGTAGATGGCTGCTCCACAGTCTCTGGGCCTCGATGGTTGTATCTCCAAATTATCTAGAACAAACCCCCAAACCAAAAACATGTGCGTTATCCTGAAGGGTAAACAGGAACCGCTAAATGTGTCCCGGACACAACAAGCTGCTATACAGACCACAGATAGTGTTGAACGAGATGGAGGACTTTCTTCAAAGCGTCAAACCAACGGACAAACACAGGATGTGTTAAGTATAGGATGGATTCTGTGTGGGAGGCTGAATGTGTGACGCCAAGAGTCACTCTGACCTCCGTCCTTTGTACTCTTATAGTTTATTGCTGCCTGTTTTATTTTAGAAAAGAAACGTACAAGTGATATGTAATTTAGTGGGACATTTTTTTATCACGTATTGTTAACAATTTGGGATTGTTAAGATAACACATCTTTGTTTAACACTTTTAATTCTTCCTTATCTGAACATCAGTCATCACTCATTGAAATCAAAGCTTCGGCCATCAAAGAGCTTTTACACTAAATGTCCTGAACGCCGTTTGATGTGGTCGACTGTTCCCTCTCCCCCTTGCCTTCATTTTGAAGTTCAGACGGAGCAGCACTTTGACTCCTTTCTCGCTGCTGTTGTTATTCATGCTGTCTTTCCATGTGAAGTCTTTAATTCCAAAATGCGACACATCTATATATCAGCAGCTGACTTTATGTTGTTGTATATCGATCCTTTTTTTCTGCTTTGATTGTGCATTTTATACATAAAAGACAGATTATGAAATAATGGGCATCCCCTCCCCTTTCCATCTTAAGTGGTCACATGACCATAACGTTTCTGTCAGCGGATGCTGAGGGCTGGTTTAGCAGAACCAAAAATGAGCACATTTGAAACCTCAGGGAGCAACACTTTAAAGGAGTCATGGTGGCTTCCTTCCTCTGAATGAATGTTATTCCTTCATTTTTTGGGGGATATAACCATGTTGAGCATCCACACATGTCAGAGGTCACGTGATTGGATGCATTTACACAGCTTTAGAGATTAGAGGAGCAGGCCTGCGACTTGAGGATAATACATGATAAACCCCAGACCAGCTTGGAAAAGAGAAATACTTCATATCCCCACAACACTCACTGATGGAGTTCCCTTGAGCAAGGCTCCTAACTGCCCGTTGCTCATGGAGAGCTGTTCAGTGGCCAATGACAGACTGTGGCTGTTGACGGTTTAAGTGAGTGCCACTGCAAGTGTGACGCAGGATGAAAAGAAAATTCCCCTCTGTAGCTGAGTGTTGGAAGATTACAGCACATAAACATGGTTACGGTTGTAAAGGGCATGCTTGTGACTGGACCACAGTACATCCTGTGTTCTACGAGGGAGTTAATAGAACGTATAAGTCTTCCTGCATGTTTGCTCATAGGTTGCCGTCAGACGGGATTAGAGGTGCATCAGAACTGCAATTTACGATAATGCAAAGTGGCTCTGAATGAGCATGTTTGTTTTTCTGGGAGCGGCCGGCTTCCTGGCCTTTTTGCACCACAGAAGACCTGATGGGTGAAAACATGGAACGTTCTGACAGTCTGGAAAGAGTCTGTCAGGGCCGGAAAGACAGTTGAAACAAGCAGGTGTCTGTTCAGCCGGGTGGGGACCACAGAGAGAGAGGACATGTCCCGTCATACATGATGAGCTCACGGAGTGCAGAGCAGCCGTGTGTGGCTATAAAACATGCACATTAGAAATCTCAGTTTCCCTCATTTACTTCAATCCTTGTTAAATTTGCATTGATAATAAAGTAAATAAAAGTTTTCTGAATAATATAATTGTACATAGTTGTGCATGGGCATGTGTGTAGATGTATGGAGCGCGTTTCTACTCCGGTGTCTGTGTCTGCGCTGCAGATGGAGTGCTCCTCTAATGACAGAGCAGTTGTTGGCGGGAACAGATTTATGAAGGTTTCCTTTTCCTTTTTAAACTCTGAAATATCACCTTTACCATCCGTTGCTCACTGATCTCTTTGATTAGTGTGTTGCATCAAAACCAGGATGTTGGTGTTGAAGATAAGGATGTTTTCCTGCCTGTGTAATCTAATTGTCACTTGACTGAAGGTAACACCTTTTTAGAAGTTAAGCTAATCATCGGTAAAAGCACTACCGGGAGAATCGAAGCGATTCAATTCAAATTCTAGACTTTAACATCGAGACATTACAGGGAAAATCAACAAACACAGGCTTTAATTTGCTCTAATAACCGCCTCCACTTTTGTAGGTTTTTCTGCAAGGCTTTGAAGCCTGGCGGCAAGTATTTGCTCCCATTCAGCCGTAAGAGCACTAACGTGGTCGACCACTAATGTTGGACGATAAGGCCTGGCTCGTCCCAAAAAAAAGTGTTTGATGGGGTTGATGCCAGAGCTCTGGTGAGGTCCAGTCAAAGTTCTTCCACACCAGAATATCTCTGAAGGATCAAGATTAAGATGTGTACAAAGGCTGTCCACATACCTTTGGCCATATAGCGTAAGAGACAAGTTTCTCTTAACTATCTTGCTCAGTGAATACAAAATCGTAGGTCCACTTTTAATACAACTGGCTCAAGCTTACCCGAGAGACCGGCAGTGTTACTGGTATGTTGTCCCAACCTTGAACCTTCACAGCTCTGGTTGTGTCTCCTGTCTCGGTGATAGATGACTTCTGGTCATCGGCAAACAACAAAAAAAGACTTCAAAGACCTTGAGCCTTGAGTTTAAACTCACCAAAGAAACTCAAACTTTGCTTTCATTTGTCTTGTTTCTGAAGTTGGAACATGTCTGCCCAGTCTGAGGACCACCAGCTTGATTCCCATTGAAATAATGAGGGGCTCTTATGACGTCTTATTGGTGGACTTCATTGGCGTTTTTATTTGGCAGCCTGAAGCGTAATGGAGGGAGAGGTCAATATCACGATGGCTTCTAGCAAAAGAGTGACAAACATTCCCTGAAGAGCATCTGCAGATGGTCCTGATTGTTTCCCAGTTGGAGGTGGGATTAGTGGTGGTGTTGATGGCGTTTTTGGCGTGTGTCACTATGTGTGTGTGTGTGTGTGCGTGCTCAGCTGGTCTGCAGCTGCGTTGTTTTTAAACACACAGTCCACCCACCTCCTGAAAAACCCCACCACAACTCTAATTAATGGTTTGGTCTCAATTGACCTTATTGTGTCCCCACCACTGGCGAGAACATCAACAAACATCTGCCTTCTGCCCTCCTCTCTTTTCTTTCTGTCTTACTTTGCTTCATGTCTCAGAGCCTGATTCTGTCCTTTTTCATTCATTAGCTATCCACTTCTCTCTGTTTATCTTAGCATTCTTTCTTCCTCTTCCTTTAAAGCAGAGTGCTGTTTACTGTACTGTGTGTTTATTCATAATGCAAATTTATGGAGGAAATGATTTCACAAAGTATGTGAAAATTAGTCATTTTCTCACCTTGGGTTGCGGTTAGATCCCTGCCGCAGTGTCTGCTGTCGGCCTCTCATTAGCACTAACAGTTGTTATGTTTGTGCATGTGGTAGACTCTCTCATTTACACCCCTCCCACACCGTAAATATGTGGCACATTTCCATCAAAAAGAAAGAAAAAAGCCCTCCGTGGTGGTAAATAAGCCTTTTATTAAATCAGACTATACTGCTATTACTGCAGAGTACCCTCCTGTCTTTCCCTCCATGTTGCCCTTCTCTTACAGTGTAAGAGCTAACAAAGACAGAGATGGTAAGATAGAAGATGTAACGCCTTCGTCACTGACTGGAGGAGGGTTGTGGCTTCGGATCACAGCATTCAAACTCGGATACGACAGACTTTTCGCGAGCTGGAATCAAGAAGGCTGCAAACATAAGCTCCAGTTTGTGTGGTCACAGAAATGATGTCAAACATCTAGTAACTGTCTGACTTGGAGGACTTAATATAGATTTGTTTCACATGATGTAATGACATGTCCTAAGCTGTTGAGGTCTCTGTAATTATACTTGATGATGGTCTGCAATTTTAAAAAAAGAAGAGTTTCCCAAAGGGATCCTAACAAACAGCTTCACTGTTTATGAGAGAAGCGTTTTGAGTGTTTTTCATTTCTCTGCCCTCTTTCATCATCGTCAAAGCTGGATTTCACTCCAGCCGGTGCAGTCCTGCCTTCAATGAATCTGAAACACTTCTAATGAGCAAAGAGCGGCCAGAGATGTGACTTTGATTACTTTCCTCTTTGTATACCAAAGACGCATTCGTGTGCAGACATACGAATGTGTCTTCTCTGTGTATTATCTTAATGTTAGACATGTTGGTCCAGTTTATTTGAGCTTTTACTTTAAAGAGAGAGCTAGTTTCACATCTGAGAACCAGGTTCGTGCACTAAAGTTGACAAGCAAAACAAGTGCAGCCGTAATGAACCATGTCAGGCAATACAATGGAAGGAATATCATCAGGCCGGCAGTGTTTTCTCAAACACTTGTTGATTCACCCAATTGACAAGTGTTGAAAATTGATTGAATGTTTATTGGGAGAGCAGAGCAAATTGCTGCTTTGTACAGTGCCTTTTTTCTTCTTCTCTTTCTTCTTCAGCCCTTGGTTGAACAATGCTGTCATCGCTCAGTCCATCAGGCAGCACCAGACATCCCAAACTGGCACTCAGGCCCCCAGAGCTTTCAGCAGCGTCCTTTGACCAGAATACAAAGAAAAAACAGATCCGCTTTCAAATTTGAGAGTTAGTTCAACATCCATTCAGCCCCTGAAAACTGTCCGGATGCTTTTATTACATTTAACCAGAAATGTCTGGTCATCATGTGTGTCATTTGTTCAGGCTTTGGTATCAAGACTTAAAAATCTTTTTTGCTGTTTCAGCAGCTTTTTTCCAGTTCAGTTAGCGAGCCCTGAGTAGTGGCGACTATCAAACAATGGGAATTAGGAACTAAAATGGAATGAAATAATCAGCTGGATTCTTCTGTTTATTTGCCATAAGTGGTCCTGGTAAGAAGCAATTTGCCTTCTCGAAAACTGCCTCTTCCCTCGTGGTTCAGTGACAAAGTACCCATAGAAAGTGAATGAAACTTGTTATTGTGGGAGAGCTGTAGGCAGTAGTTTTAATGGAAAATCATGGCAGTTAGAAGCATGTATCTGGGAAGCAGAACCTGAGATTAACTGCAGTGAAATGCTGGTAGATTTTGTTTGTGGTTTGTCTGGTGAACAAAGAGGTTTCCCTTGAAGGAAGATTCAGTTTGAAACTAGTCAATTATATTATGTCATGCAGTACAATTTCCTTTTTGGCATCCTTGATTGTTATAATTTGATAGTTTCCTGCTCAGATTTCTTCTTATCATATCAAATGCCTCTTTCATTGACTTTTTAACTTGTATTAATACAATACAGTACCAGTCCATTCTAAAACAGGTTTTTTTAGACGTAAACAATTTTTAGTTTGAGAGCAAGAAACACCGTTGTTCAAAGTCTCTGCTCACAAACCAGCTTGCAGCTCTCACTGAAGAGTTTTGTCTCCTTTCGTCTGAACAACGCCCTCCCCTTATCAGCAAACTCTAACAGCTTAGACAAACCTGGCAACATGGCCAAAGGGAACCCGTTTAATGTCTTTTTGATATCTCTCCCACTGGCAGCAGATACCAAACATGAACTCTGGCCCAATTTCCTCTCAGCAAATAACACCAACTGGGGAAATGCGTTGCGTTTGATTAGTTCTCGAGCATAACCTGACGGCGATCACTTCGTAACAAGAACTCCAATTGTGACTGAATTTTTTATCTTTTATTTCCATTTGTTTAATTTTTTTGTTCTTGCCGTTTGCTTTTTCGTCCTAGTTTTTCCTCATCTCACTCCCAAAGGCATGTTTTTGATGGCATGATTGTGGACCTGACAGCTCACCCCCGGCCCAATATGAAGTCTGCTGAGGAGCTTCACAGCCTTCCAGTGACGTTTTCAACAGATGATGCAACATGCATCTAACGGTCTGGAACACGAACGGGGGGACGGGCAGGATCACAGTTATTACTATTATTACAGTCTTGGCTTGTCTTGTAACCCTAGAGCTCTGAAGTGGAGAGTAACATGGTGGTCTTTAGGGTTAGACCGAGGTCTACCCTGGTTTGTGATGGGAAAGGATTGTGGTTTCAGTAACATGTTTCTTCCATGTTCGTCGGGCAGCAATCGTCAACTATAACTTTAAAAACAAAGACTCGAAAAGAATGAATTGCATGTATTATGCACCCAAAAAATGTTGTGCTGCAGATGACTTTCTCTGATATTCTCAGCAACTAAGAACACATTGCAGAAAGGGAAGCTCAGTTGGGTTTGTTTGGTTTGCCCAACCTCTAAAGAAATCTTGATGCACACCGGATACCAAAGAATCAAATGTTCCTAAAATTATACAGAACTGTGCGTAGAAACTGTATCATGACACCTGCATTAGAGACGGTTCAGAGTACTTTTAGAAATGTAAAATCTTTAGAAAGTTTCACTTCACATATGAAAACATGAACTAAATTGACCCAAATCCTTTCAGACACAGATTTCCTTTCACTTTCATTGTTGTCTCATCGGGTCAGGTCGGACTGCGGAGATGAGTACGACTCTGATGTAAACATGTTTATATTTCCGTGTGTTTCTCTGCCAAAGCATCCCAGAATAAGGTCTGTATAATCAGATAGATGCAGAGTCTTGATTATGTCTTTCAGTCTGGGGCCTATGCCCGCTCCTCCCAAACTATCCCAACAGGTGTTTTTGGTTTTTCAGCATTTGTTAGCAATTTGCATGCATTGCCAGTACAAGGCAGAGGGGCTGGAACCAATTTAGTTTGGGAAATTGTATGTAAGGCACAGCACATCGAGTGAACTGTTTTAAGGAGTTTAGAAGCTGTTGTTGGAGCAGAAATGCACCGCTGATTATGTAGAGCAAAGGCTAATGATAGAACAAATGAAAGACGACTCCAGCTGAAGCACCAGCTGATAACATGATATATCATATCAGAAAGTTGAAACTCTGTAAGTGGATGTTGATTACCTGTTTCTTGAGATACTTATCATGGTCATGTTGTCAGTTCATCTCCCGGATGAGGAAATGAGCTCCAGGTCAGATGTTCAGGATCAAAGAGCCTGTCGAAGGGGTCAGCAGGTACTTGGTGAGGATTTTTATGGGTGCTAACAGCTACGTGCAATCTCTTCTGTTATAGGAGGACAAGGAGAGAGAGGCCAGCTTCTAAATGTGGACAGCTTTATACCCATGCAAGAACTCACACTTCTACGCACATGTGCCTGCAGATGTGTGTCTGTAGACAGATGTAGTTGTAACATTTGCTTCTGGAGTAGGTTACCTGAGTCATGACTCTGTAAATCAACGTGTTCATTTTGTAGAGCTCTGAGAGTATTTGTTAGAGAAGGAAGAGGTTGTTTCTCTGTCTCTGTGTGTGTGTGTGTGTGTGTGTGTGTGTGTGTGTGTGTGTGTGTGTTTGTGTAGTCTCTAGAAGTAAAGATTAACGGCCTAGCTTCCAGTTTCATGGCTGATTATTTCTGCAGGTTTTAGGATTGTGAAAACTATCGTTACAAAGATTCCACTCAGAAGCTGTGTCAAGTTTGGTTGACCTGTATGCTCACTTTATGTAATGGAAGACAAGTGATCGCATTAGATACAGATATACACTATGAATAGAATTTGGTCTTTTTTGTAATAACTGATACCGTAGCTTTATGTTCAGAACTTTGGCTGTTGCACCCACACTGACATATTTAGTAGTCTTCAGCACTGTTGGTGCTCTGGTCAAAGACGCTTCGATACCATTTATGCATACAGTAGAAGGAGAAACGAGGTGGATCCAGTGCTCACTTCACTACAACATCAAATAAAGAGGAGACGGCAGACGCTGGACAAACCCAGTGTTTCCGTCACATGCATTTTGCAGCGGTGGACACTTCGAGGATAAGCAGCTGGAGCGGTGACAGGACGTCAATCCGTCACGACAACCAAATGAACAACAGCGCAAGTAGAGACAGTAAAGCTCTTCTTTAGAACAAACAAAAACCAAAACAAGAAAAATGAATTGCTCTCAGCCAGGCTGCAAACTGAGGCCAATATCCAGCGCCCTCTGTTAGTAGTGGGTCAAAGAGGCATTATGTATGAATAGACTGATGTCAATGTTCTAAAGTTTGTTTTGCAGTCAGTTGTCATTTTATTTCATATTTTTAAATGACCTATGTATGTTTCCTCACACCGTGCACCAGGTACAACAAACACTTTGCCCACTGCTGCTGATAAAATATATCCTTGAGGAGAAACTGTGAGCCTCACTGGCCCCTTTCCATGTCTGTGACTCCCTTTAAGATGTATACTCAACAGGATGCCAAGTGTTAGAGCCAGTAATAACAAAATAATAGGGTTTACTCTATTAGTTTCACATTTGCTGTGAAAAATGATTAACAGTTAAAGTGAAGACCTCATAACTGTGATCGTCCCCACAGTTTTTTTCGATCAGTTTGGCAAAAAAACCCAATGGCATTCTCTCAACATTCGTCACCAAGCTCAACACAATGTTCTCATGAAGACTTTGACATTGTGGAGACACACGAGTCGAAGGATATTCTCTGTGGAGTAATATGAACGCAGTGTGAATATGGTCACTAAAATCATGTTGACTGTAAAAACAGTGCCGATGTTTCCGTCATGCGGAGCAGCAGATGGAGCAGAGACATCACAGGCGCTGGTGATCCTAAGCAGCCGGACCGTTACAGTTCACATTCTGTGAAATTGCACCCTTGGGATCTCGGCCGTTTGCCTGTGTTGTTTTTTAGAGTGTTTGTTTTGAACCAAACCTCTTCTCTGCTCCTCTTTGAACGAAAGTTTGGGATTGAAGTTCGACACCAGAGCCGACAAGGAACATGTGGTATAAGCAACGTAAAGGTTCCCTTCAATACCTGATTACAATTTTACAAGGTGAATAAGAGCTGGCAGATCGAAGTGTTTACCCAGTGTTTGTTATTAACTTTAATAAGGACTGTGAATCTCTCACCGCCTCTCTGTCGTTTGTATGTATTGCTCTCTGTAATTGCATCTTCCTCTCTTTCAATCTAAACTCAATGTTTCTCTTACTTCTCTCTTACTTCTACTTCTTCTTGCATGTCAAATGCAGGCCAAGTTCAACACACGTCTAAACATACTTTTCTCAGTTTGCCCAGACAAATAGAATTGCCACCCCGTGTCCAACTTCTCCGACAAGGAAAATCCAGCCACACTGAAAACAATTTATTAAATAAACGTCCGTCCACCTCCAAATGAGTACGGCTAAAAAGGCTCTTCCTTTGTTTTGGCCACACCACTCCAAGCAAGAGACAAGAGGAATTCCAAGTTCAAATAACTAGTCAATGAGCTTGACCTGGTTTTGGCCCGACAAATGATGCTAACGGCTGCTGAGTGTTCTCAATTGCTGTAGGACACTGGGGTCAAGGATCGGGCTGAACCTGGATTGCATTTTCACCCAATTTAGCAACTAATTGACAGCTGCATTTAGAGACAGTTGGGATGCATGAAGACTCCCTTTCGTGATCTGCTCAGAAGTTTGTTGAAGGAGCATTTTGATTTCAGTAGTAATCTGCATCATTCTGGCTGCAGGTATGGTGATGAGTATTAGCGGCGGTTAGTATGGCAGCACTCAGTAGTGAAGCACCGTGAAAGAAACAGTGTACTACCAGGTGTACTACCTGGGTAGCAGGTAAGAGTTCTTCCTGTATTTGTTCCAGTAATATTTTTCCCTTGGTTCCTGGAACGCAAAGCAGTTCTCCTTCTCTGTCCAATAGGTCTTCATTACAGCCAATGTCGTGAACTGGCTAAAGGTGGGATTACTTTGTATCAATTAGAAATACAAGTGATGTGAAGTACAGCCCAATTTCACATACAATAACATTAGGCTTTAAGGGGTCGGGCACTGATGTTGGGCGATAAGGCCCCGCTTGCAGTTGGCATGCCGGTTCTTCTTAAAGGTGTTGGATGGGGTTGAGGTTAGGGCATATCTTTATGGACTTGTCTTTGTGCACAGGGGCAATGTCATCTTAAAACAGGAAAGGGACTTTGTTGTCGGAAGCAAAGTATTGTCTAAAATATAATTTGCCCTTAATTGAATCTAAAGGGCCTGAATCAAAGAGTACCAGACCACAGGTCATGTGGACAGGGTCGTCCACTCACTGAGCTTTACAGTTGGCTGTAACTGTTCAGGGTGGAAGCGTTCTTCTGGGATTTGCCAAACCCAGAACTGCCAACAAACACGATAATTTACATCACACAGCAAAAGTATTTCCTTAATGATTCATCTACATATTTGCAAGATACAAGATGACTATACCTTTCAGATGTTGCTTCTTTTGCCCCTGTCTGTATGACTAAACAGGAACCTTTTACAGGCACCACTCGGTTAAAGTGGTCTAATAAAAAAGAGTGCATATATATCTACTCAACCAACAGCGATTTCAACTTGAAATGAGCACATTGAGCTCAGGTCATCCAGGTCATTGTCATCCGGGTCAGCCGGGCCCGGTCAAGACTCTAAACAGTGACAGTGAACCGGCGCCGTGGAAGCCGCCTCACTTGAGTCAATGAAAAGAACCGGACTTCACACGGATTGGCCGAGGTCCTGCTCTTCAAACTCTACGGCGAACAACTCGAGCCAAAGCAGATGGTATCACTCAGACCCCCCCCTCCACCCGCCCTCCCTCTGTAGGAACAGTTTGGATAAGCTACACAAGTATCTCCTATGTGATGAATACAAACATGGCAAACTTTCGGCTGACCGCAAAGCCCTGGCATTCATCACTGGAGAAGAGGGAAAGAGGATCTTAAGGGATTACTTTATGCCTTGAGGAGCTGATATGGATACAGATTAAAAGGTTATATGTTGATGTTCAGCTGCAGATGTTGAGCCTTCAGTTGCACCTTAGCACATTTGCTGTGGTTCTACTTTTTCTCTGTC